ATGAGAGCTAAGTGTCTTTGATCTGTAGTAGCTAAAGCTGTAAGGTATATATAAATTACATCATCATCTTCATAAGTGGGAGTAAAGCAGTTGGATCTCAAAAGTGGTTTCCATTTGATTGTGCCACTTCATCTCTTCCTCAGAGTTGTTTTGACACTCTTTGGAGCTGAAATAAGCATCTCTGGAAAGGCAACCCCCTGGGGAATAGTTGAGCTAAATTGCACCGGCCGTTTGGGGGCTGTGGGACAGGGGAAGAAAAATTCAGGTTCCCAATCAAAATGGGCTAAACCCAGAGACTTTCCAATTCGTTATGACATCCATGATGAGGAGACTTAATCACTAAAATTATGGCAGGAATATTTTTGCATCATTTCATGGTAGGGAGGCTTAAAAGTTTTCTTGGAAGATGCATTATAGATCAGAATGTCCTTTGGTATATATGTATATATATGTATTTTATTAACATGTCCTGATAAATATATCCTTATTAATATCTTATATATATATATATAATATATAATATGTGTTATATATGTATATATTTAAAAAAGATTTCGCTTCCCATGAATGTTTATCAAAACAGGGTATCTCTAAAGTAGTTGAAAAACCAGAGTTAAATTCCTTTGCACCAGCCACTGGGTGCCAATAATTTCACAGGATCCAGTATTGTGTTTAGTGAGATATTTATTTAGTGAAATGAATATGGTTTTACCTCTTTTGATCAGCGGTGGAGGGTTTAAAAAAATAATTGGGGCCATGATCACTCCCACGTCTCTCCCTCCACCACCAGCACCACTCCCTTCTTCGTCATTTTAGACATTATCATTTGTCGCTTTCTTACTGTGATCTGTATGCTTTTTTTTTTTTTAATAATTTTTATTGGAGTATGGTTGCTTTACAAGGTTGTGTTAGCCTCCACTGCACAACAAAGCAAATCAGCCATACACATACAGACATCCCCTCCCTTTTGGACTTCCCTCCCATTTAGGTCACCACAGTGCATTAAGTAGAGCTCCCTGTGCTATACAGTGTGTTCCCATCAGTTGTCTATTTTATACATAGTATCAATAATGTATATGTGTCAATCCCAGTCTCCCAATTCCTCCCACCCAACCCCTTTCCCGCTTGATATCCATACATTTGTTCTCTACGTCTGTGTCTCTATTTCTGCTTTGCAAATAAGATCATCTATACCATTTTTCTAGATTCCACATATATGTGTTATTATACAATACTTGCTTTTCTCTTTCTGACTTACTTCACTCTGTATGACACTCTCTAGGTCTATCCACATCTGTTCAAATGACCCAGTTTCATTCCTTTTTATGGCTGAGTAATATTCCATTATATATATATATATATATATGTACTACATCTTCTTTATACATTCCTCTGTTGATGGACATTTAGGTATAATGACTTTGGATGTGTTTTTACTATGACTGTATGCTCACCTGGAATGTTTCATGATTTTGGACATAACTCAGTATGCTCAAATTTGAGAGTCTTTTTAAATTTATAGGTTCTTCCGGGTTTTAACAGTCCCTAAAGAGTTGGGTGATTTTCATTTTTGAAGTGGTATCGTGAAATGGAATAAGCCCTTCCTCGTATGGTGAGAATTTAGAGGAAGACTATTCTCTGCCCTGTCCAGCAGAGGCCTGATATAATTATCCTGTGCAGTGTAGCCAATAAAATATACATGCATGGTAACACTACTATCCTTTACTCTTCAGCCTGTAGAATGCACTAATAGGAGTTATTGAATTTAATAAATAACTGTATCTAGGTATGCGAACTTCTATTTAGGTGTATGTTTTAAGAATTAACTGTTGCTGAGGTCCTTGCAAGTCATTTTTAAAAGCTTCATCAGTAGAAATAAAATTACCTGTTAAGAGGCCAACACAGAAGGATACACCTCGCCTGGCGAGTGTGATCTAGTACGTCCACCATGCCTTCCACCGCAGTCTGAATTTTAACAGGCCACATCTTTATTGGGCCAGGAGAAAGATCAGAGGTGAGGGCTTTTCAAGTCCTGTGCTTTTCTGGTCTCTGGACCAGGCTCTGGGGTCCATGCAGCATAATGCACTTAGGTACCGGGCAGCACCTGGGTGGTGTGGGGCTGGCACACTGCTTCCCACAGTGGGATTTGCCACTGTGAGAAAGGAGGTAGAAGCGTCAACAGCACAGCAAGTCCCGGGTCTGTTTTAGGACAACCTAAAATATATGCTATATTTAAAATTTTTAGACAGAAAATAAGATAAAGGAAGATCTGGGCTGGTGCCCGTGGATGTTAAGCCCTGGAAAAATGACCAGCCAGCCGTCCTTTGTCCCTTGAGCATACTGACTGTTAAGTGGGACTCAGGGGTGAGGTGAAGCTCTAGAAGGGCGTTCTTCTAGCTTTGGCTTTTTCTGTGCGGGTTTGGATGGTATCAACTATGGTCCTTATCAGATGTTGCCCCAGAGACAGAGTGGATTGATTGGCACAGGCCCAGCTGCTTGGACTGCCCATATCTGCAGACCTGGCTGGTAAAGTGTGGAAGGCTGATCCGTAAACTCCGGCCGCTCATATTTGGACCTCGCTGCTGTAGTGACCGCTAAGTGGCCATCCCCCAAGTGTGCTCTGGTGCCTCTCTCTCAGCTGTAGCCACAGCGGTCACACCCAAGGTTGTCTGGGCTGCTAGCTCATTGGGTTCTGCTTTGGCACCCTCTTTCCTAAGGCAGGTCAAAAGCAATCAGATGCAGGGAAATCATTTTCCTTCCCCACTTGGCCTTGCTGGGCAAGAGGCTGTTTGAAGGACTCATTTTGCATAATGAGCTTTGACTCAGGCGTACCTTCACATTTGGGCAGCAGTTAGGCAGTATTATTACATGTGCAATGAGTTTTTAAATATTCTCATGCAGATAGCCACTTTTAGAGGTTTTATATTTAAAACCATGATTTTCCCCAAGAAATATGTAAAAATGGCAGTTATAGTTAGCCTGGAAATGTGGCAAGGTCCAGAAGAATGCTTCACATTCCATCCAAGTTATAACGTATGTTGAAATCACTAGGGAATATTCAGTTCTTGAGACTGGCTCAAACCTCACTTGGATATCAAAGAGAATGTGACATGTGAAATTAAAGCAAAGGAACTTGTCTTTTGCTCCAGTCCTTCCTTGTTAGACACACATCCTAAGCTTCCAAGGACTTCCATGTATTAGAGCAGCATGTTCAAGTAGAAAACAGTTCACATGATTTTAGATTGCGGTTGGGTGGTGCCATTCTCTGGATGTGCAGAGGGCACTGATGAACCACAGTTGGAAGGACAGAGGTTTTGTTGTTTTTTCTCCAGTGGTGAGGGTGAGTTCATCCTGGGTTATCTCTTCTCTTGCCCTTGTGGACAGCAGAATGTCTGAGTCACTTGCTTATATTTAGTGCTGAGTATATTGGCCATCAAAGCTGAGAAATCAAGTGGTAAATTTCCCACCAATCATCCAGCTCTTAACTTAGAATCATTAACTCTGGCTGCCACATAATTCAAAAGACTAGGATTATATTTAAAATAATAAATGGAGAGAGATGTGGCAGAGGGATTCTTTTAAACTTTCTCAGTGATATTTCATGGTGTAGACCTCAGAGACTTCCTAACCAGATGGGTGAGAAGACCAGTTATGCCATAAATTTAAAGCCAGAGCAAAGTGGGCCAATTCCTCAGAGTTAAAAATGATTTAATGCTGAATCCCCAGGATCCGGAGGAACCCGTTCATGTTTATTCATGCTCTGGAAAATGGAATCACTGCCCAAGGAGCAATGTTCTGATTTTACTCTAAATCCAGTTTCCTAAAATCTATTTAAGGGCTTAGGTGAACGCAACCAGGATCTGATAAAGCCAGGTAATTGAATGACACAGAGGCCGATAAAATTCACAGGAGATGGTGTCGGAGATAAACGGCGGCAGGAGATGGCATGGCATGGACCACAGTTGAAACCAATTGTGCACTTTGATCTAAATGAACTTTTCTAGAAGAGACGTCGAGGCCGCATTTTGGACAGCTTTCTGGAACTGCAGCATGCAGAGTACCAGCCGAAAACACATCCAGCAGATTATTTGAATATATGCAGGAGGAAATTAACTGCATGGGGGCACATGCCCTAAAAATGGTGTGGAGGTGTTTTCCACGGGTGAGGCCTCTGCATGTTGCAGACAGTTGAGCTGAGCTGACAGAGTGGGTGCGCTCGGCCGCAGTGGGGTGGGTGAGCACTTACAGGGAGAAGAAAGAGTGGGCAGTGGAGGTTTGGAAGGGAAGGGTTATTAGCAGTGGGGAAGAGGTTAATGTGATAGAGAAGTGAGTGACCTGGACCCTTGCACTTTCAAAGTAATGAAGTGCCTAGCCTCGAAGCATAAATCGAGGCAAGCTTCATGCAAGAAGGACATGGTTATGAACGAACCAGATTGGCCAGCCTTTGTGTTTTTATCTTAACACACTTGGGACACATGGTATTAAGCTGAATATATGCCTGTGGTTAATTCTCACATTTGAATGGCCCTCTGTTTTTAGGTTTGGGGAGTGTTAGAAAACTGGAACTGTGCACCAAAATTACATGTCTTCGTGTAGGAGAAATGTTGACAGTTGAATTATCAGTGGTTACAAACACAGAGGCTTAATCCCAAGTGAGAACAGCTAGGCATCACCACTAGTGGTATAATTGATAGCAAATAAGTCTTGCACTTAGAAGGTGTCTCCGGTTATCTGTCAAACCAGGAAGAGCAGTGCTGTTTCCATATTAGGCTGAAATGTATTAACTCATCCTAGTGTATAATCCATACAGTTTGAAAGACAAGAATTTAAAAAGTCAATTGAAATTTTTGATTGCACGTGAATGCCTTGGAAAGATTTCTAAGCCCTTCGTGTTTTCCTTTGTGTTTTGGGAGGTGGGGGGAAAGGCAGCTTTTTATGCATTTATGTGAGAAGCTTCTTGAAATCTGACCTTTGTTTTCTGTTTTTTTTCCCTCATATAGGATGATTATTTCAGAAACTGGAATCCCAACAAGCCTTTTGACCAAGGTAAAGGATGCACTTTTTCTTGCTGTATATTCCATGGGAAGTGCTGTCTCATTTTTCTTTCCTTGAATGCTGATTTACTCTTCCCTTAACGGCCAGCTAGCTGTCTTATTTTATTGACTTTTGTGGACTGAATTGACTGGGGTGATAGAAATTATTTTTATCAAATTGGTTATTTGTCTGAGATTGCCTAAGACAGATTAAAAAATGTTTTTATTGAATTGACCACTATAATCATTGGTTGGTTTTGTTAGAGAACAAACACATAAAGAAACAAAATAGTAAAATGCTTATCAGACTAACCCGGTGGATTGTTGGGCTGAGTCCAGTGATTTCATTCATGGAACAGACTGTGCCTGGAGACGCTGTCCAATTCACATGAGCCACAGAAATGAAAATTTCTTGTCTAGAAATAGGCTAATCCCGGGAGGCTTTCAGGGGCGCTGATATTTCATTTGTTAAATAACTTCATCATGTTTCTAAATAGAAGCTTGTTTCAGGGGCAGCTCACTGACCGCTTGGGTTTTAGCTTGGTCCTCAGAGGGCTCTTTCCACTCACACCAGCAAGCACAAAGCCAGGCTCCTGAAGGCCATTGTAAATCTCTGTCCTCCTGTGAGCTATTTAAGACACAGCGAGGACCTGCTGTGAACCACATCCCTGTTTCTATTGTTCCATGTGGGGCTGCTGTTGGCACAGACCCTGCTGCTGAAATGGTGGCAGATTGTACTTCAAGTACGTATATGCAATTAATGCTGCAACTCAGAGGGAAAATGTTACCAAGTCTCAAAGGTTCACGCTTCTGAGAATTAGCTTCAGTTCTGTAGATTGAGTATTTGATGTGGTCACGATGGTCAACTTGACACAAAGAAGTCAAGGAAAGCATTGACGTGTAACACGATAGAAGGCGCCCCTTCCCGCTCTGTCCTTTGTCACTTTAATGGGTCACTCCAACCGGACTCTGGTTTTCTTGTAAGCAAAATTGGCATTAAAATTTTTGCATAGACATTTAGCGTATGCCCTCAAGTAGTGCAACACTTTGTTCATTCATACGTGCATGCATTCATTCATTCTCAAACATTTATTGACCTAGCACTCTGGAACAAGCACCAAGCCAGGTCCTGGGGATAAAACAGAAAACCTGTGGTGCCCATCCAGGAGGAGCTCAGAGTGGGGAGTGGGAAAATAGCTCAGTGAACAATTGCGGTGAGAGATGTGTTAATGGCTATGATGCAGGTGTGTGCAGGTGAGACTATAGGTGGGAGATTTAGTGGGCATGCATGTATGTGTTGTGGGCAGGTGCTAGGGGAGGCTTTCTTTTGGAGGCCCCGTCTGGGCTATACCTATGCCAGTGGGCTCCAAGGGCCTCACACTTCAGCAACTTTAAAAAAATTAAAAAAAAATTTTAATTGAAATATAGTTGATTTACAATATTGTGTTAGTTTCAGGTGTACAGCAAAGTGATGAAGTTATACATAGGTGTAAATATTTTTTCCAGTTCTTTTCCATTATAGGTTATTACAAGATATTGAATATAGTTCCCTGTGCTATATAGTAAATCCTTGTTGTTTATCTATTTTATATATAGTGGCGTGCAGCTGTGAATCCCATACTCCTAATAATTTATCCCTTCCTCACCCTTTCCCCTTTGGTAACCATAAGTTTGTTTTCTATGTCCACGAGTCTGTTTCTGTTTTGTAAATAAGTTCATTTGTATTATTTTTTAGATTCCACATATAAGTGGTATCATATAATATTTGTCTTTCTCTGTCTGACTTATTTCACTCAGTATGATAATCTCTAGGTCCATCCATGTTGCTGCAAATGGCATTGTTTCCTTCTCTTTTACGGCTGAGTAGTATTCCATTGTGTATATGTACCACATCTTCTTTATCCATTCATCCGTTGATGGACACTTAGGTTGCTTCCATGTCTTGGCTATTGTAAATAGTGCTGCTATGAACATTGGGGTGCATGTATCTTTTTGAATTAGTTTTGTCTTTTCTGGATTATATGCCCAGGAGTGCGATTGCTGGACCATATGTTAGTTCTATTTTTAGTTGTTTAAGGAACCTCCATACTGTTCATAGTGTACCAATTTACCTTCCCACCAACAGTGTAGGAGGGTTTCCTTTACTCCACACTCTGTCCAGCATTTGTTATTTGTAGACTTTTTGATGATGGCCATTCTGACTGGTGTGAGGTGATACCTCATTGTAGTTTTGAGTTGCATTTCTCTAATAATCAGCAATGACGAGCATCTTTTCATGTTCCTGTTGGCCATCTTGATGTCTTCTCTGGAGAACTAACAACTTTAACAGTGACTGAATCATCACAGTAAATCACAGTAAAACATATGAAGGTATTTGTAATTTAGAAATTTGCCATCAAAAATGATCAAAATTTCTAAAAATTTCTCAAAAGTCTACACCTTCATGTTGGAAGAACACTCATATGTAGAGCAACACGTTCTCTGTGTGTACCTGGTAAATGAGCCCTTCTGCAAACACCCCTACCAGGATCTTTCTTATGGATCTACTGCAGGTGATCGCGACCATGAACTGATGCTTTCCAGTCCAGAAAAAGATTTAGGTGCTAGTCCTGTAAGGATCAAATGTTGCCTAAATAAATCCCAGATTTACTCTTCCCCAAGGCCTGCAAACAAATACTAAAACTTTACCAAGGAACATTTTAATTTTTACTAATTCACATTGGGAAAGGTTATACACAAAGGTGGGCATCATTTGTCACTTCATATATGTAAATGATATATCTACATATAAGATATAAATGATAGCTTCCTTTGAACATGCTATTTAAATCTGTCTAACCAAAAAGTCCGAACAAGGATTTTTCTCTCCAAGGAGTGTTAGCAACCATATCCAGCAGCGTCCTGCCCCTGCTCCCTCTTTTCTGAGCTCTGCAGGCTTGAAAACTCGATCTGCTGAGATAAATCCTTGCAGAAAACCTCATGACTTTCTGGGGTATAATTGAGGACCTTAGCTGAGAAGCCCCACTTTGTACCTCACGTGTAGCTGCTGTTGTCTATTTATATCCTGAGCTGGGGGGGAGAGCAGGCAGGGCTGAGAATAGTCTTCACGTAAAATATCGGCTCCAGCAGATGTCATCAATTACACTGGGTGCCGCTCAATAAAAACGGGAGGTTACTATATCAGCGCTGACACAGCCTGGCGCAATATAAACCACAGGCATGGAAGAGATCGGGCATTTCATCTTCCAGAAAATAGGAGGATTGCCGAGCTCCAGTGGAGATTGTCAGCTGCAGAGAGAAGTCATTTCCCCTCCTGAGCTAAAAAAGAATCCGACGTGGTTCAGGCAGTTTTGTGGCTGGGGATGACTTTCAGTTTATAGAAATGGAACTTGCTGGAAAGCATTTTAGAGGGCCAGATGACAAGCATGTTCTGAGATGGAGGTGGAAGGGGCTTCATGATAGAGGTGGGTGTGGAATGGGCTTGAAATGCAGGGGGAGAAAAGGGGAAGGAAGGCCGTGCACGGGGGATTCTGGTAGAGAGCAGCCAGACAGGTGGATTTGAGGCAGGCTGTGAAGGGCATTTCATACCAATCTATGGAGTTTAAACGTTGTTTTCTTGGCAGTGGGGACCCATAGAAAGTTTTTGAGCAGAGGAGTGACAGGTTGAAGGCAATACTTTAGAGGACCTAGTTTGGTGGCTCAACAGCAGTGATTCGGAACCCAAGACACACCTGCTAAATGCTGCCCCTCCTACCGGACTCTTAGGTAACTTCTCCATTGCATCATTCATTGCCTTACGTCCCTGGGCTTTGGTCACAGATGGTCATACTTAACCATTCAGCTCTGTAGCTTGACGTCTGAAATGCCCTGTAGCTCCTGACTGTCTCAAGTATTGGTGTGAATAGTAAGGACACACATAGTATTCAAGAAATAGTTACTTCCCTGTAATTGCTGTTTCTGTTGAAGGATAGTTACTGAACTTTGAACAACAGGGCTTCATAGAGCAAGCACTTAGCATGTAATGACTCCAAGGTAGTTAGAAGAAAAGCGCCTCACTGGAGGTCTCCTTCCACAAGGCTGAAAACGTCTTTAACGTGTTATCTTTAAGAGGATCATTAATGCTTCTGTCAGTGGAGTATAATAGCTGTCACCTTGAGGCTTTTCTGAGAATTCTTTCTGAGATTTGGATAAAGTAGTCTATCCTTTTTGATTGTGATGACTTAATGCCAAATCTCCTCACAGAAGGGACAGAAGGGAGTTCAGAATTGAAGGCAACAATTATTAACTCAGGTGAGAAATTTCCTTTGTGAAGTCCACAAAGACAGATGCCCTGGCAGGAGTTGGACAGACGGCTTCCTGGCTTATATAGGCAGGAGGACTGGAGGCCCTCAGAGTGACCCTCTGCAGGAGGCTGGCCGAGCCTGGAGGGCTCTGGAGTGATTCCAGAGTTTTGGGTGGCCTCTGCCGCTTTTGCCTTTGGCACCTTCCCTATGCTGGCCCCTAGCAAACCTGGAGCACAGAGTGGGTGTTGAGCAGACATGAGTTTTATGCTTCTGAAAGTGGCATCTGGTCCAGCAAGATGCTTCCCCAAGAAAACAGTCCCTGCGCAAATAAGTTTGGGACACACATATGCTCTGTTCATCTCGTGGAGATTCACAGTGTTTGTTAGCAATTTAAAAGCTCTAAGAAGTCTTTTAGTAAAGAAGCCCATTTAACTTACCATGTGCTAAATTTGCCTTTGACCACATGCTTTTGCTGTTATTTTTTTCACACCATACCTGTCATGTCCCCAGCAAAAGTGGTATCTTCTGTGGGATACACTTTGGTGGGTGCAGTATGGGGTCCCAGGGTTTGTAGTCAGATCCTCTAAATTTGGAACTTGACTCTGCCAGTTACTAGCTGTGTGATTCTAGGCAAGTTGCTTAACCTCTCTGATTCTAAGCCTTCCCATCTGGACATGGTAACAATAAGAGCACCGAGAGGATTAAATGAGTTAATGTGTCTGGCAGATAG